TTCCATGTTGCATTTCACCGAGTGAGTGAGGTTTCCGGAGCCCAACCCCCCCAACACCCTCTCTTATGTCAGCGTCGTTGAACAACAGTCTACCCTATGGGGGTACTAGCTACGCTAGCATTGAAGAATCCCCAGCTGGACGCCCACGCTCAGAACACCATGCATTTGGGGGTGAATACTAGACATCCAGCCTAAGCTGCCCCGCCTATTCTGGGGGGGGGGGGGGCATAACTGCGCTCAACAAGACACCTACAAGACCCGAGGCAAGAGCAGGCACATCAGGTCACCCCTCACCACGCTTGACGTGGACTTCTGCAACATCAGGGGTCTACACTCCAACCTTAATGCTTTCCACCACCACCTCGAGACAGTGAAGGCGGCCTTGCTCTTTTTAACCGTGACTCATCCTACCTCTCCTACCGTGGCTATCACCTGGAACACTCCTTCGTTGCTAAGGATGAAGTGTGCGTTTACGTTAAAGATGATATCAGTTCTCGCCGCCTCGGCAATCTTGAAGGAACCTCTCTATTTTGTGGCTTTTGACGATGGTCAAGAGCCACAAAATAGAGAGGTAACATTCTTGCTTTGCATGATGATGCAAAGCAAGAATGTTACTAACATCGACTAATGCAGCGACGCAAGGTGATGAAAACACCAACACGCTAAAAAGCGATACAACTTTGCCTCCAGATCTTTCAAAAGAGCCAATGCCAGAGCGAAATCGGAACACATCAGCCGGATTAGACTTCCTTCAGAAACTCGTGCATTCTAGTCTCTTGCCAAGGCAGTCCAGGGGAATTTCTGTAGCCTATCCCTTCAACCCCTGCAGATGGGCGATGATTCGCTGGCCTATGATGCCAAGAAGAAAACTGATCTTCTAGGCGAACTCTTTGCGTCCAACTCGACTTTGAATGACGGGGGAAATGTACCGCCAACTATACCGCGGTGTAAGAGCTGTGTGCCGAAAATCCGGTTTACATAGAAATCAGTGCCTAAACCACTCTTTTCCCTCGATATTCATAAGTCGAGTGAGCTCGATATAAACCTTATCATCCCTATCGTGCTGAAGACGTGTGCTCCGGAGTTGACACCAGTTTTAACTCGCCTGTTTCGGCTCTCCTACTCCCTACGCGTCAATCCGAACTCCTGGAAAGTGGCGTCTGTGCACTCGATTCCTCAAAAAGGTGACCGCTCTGATCCGTCCAACTACAGGCCTATAGCCATAACTCCCTTGTTCTCTAAGATTATGGAATTGGTAAATAACTGCTAGCTCCTCCAGTACTTGGAAAATCACCAGCTACTCAATGACCGACAATATGGTTTGTGCCGGGGCTCAGCTCGGTCACCACTTTCCTTGGTGGTAGAAGTTTCCTCCGATTTGAAGTCAGTAAATGCTGGTGTCCCGTAAGGCTGTGTGCTATCACCCACACTGTTTCTTCTGCATATCAATGTTATGTTACGAACTAGTGGTATCCATTGCAGTGGCAGATGATAGCACGGGCGATGCTTTTTATGCCGGCCGTCCCAATATTTCTCGGAAAACGTCATCGAGAGTCGAAACGAACTTGTGTCTGAAGTTGAAACTTCCTTAGAGGAGTTTTCAGCTTGGGGTCAACTGAATCCAATTCATTTTAACCATTTTAAACCAAAAAATACACAGGTTTGCGCGTTCACCGCAAACCTTCCGCCATCGTTCCACACGGCATATAATAATTGGCGCTCCACCACTGTGCGCTTTTCAAGACACTTTTTGGCTCGCAATACCAACCTGTGGAACAAGTTATCGGCTGCAGTATTACCGGCCCGATACGACCTTCAAACATTCAAGAAAAGAGCTTACTCCTTCCTCAAAGGCTGGCAACGCGCTCGTGACTCCTGAGTTGCAGGCGTTCATGGGCAGCGTTAGTTGCTTTCCATCAGGTGACCCGTCTGCTCGTTTGCCCACTATTCCATAAAAAAAAAACCGTATAGTTTGCCCAACTGTCACTTTCAGAAGTGCACTTGCACAGCGGCATTTTCGAGTTATAGAACATCTTTACAACAGATTTTATTTTTTGGTTTTTGCCAAATTTTGTGATTCTAGGTCAACGGGAACTACCATATAGGTTTTCAACCCAAAACCTATAGGGTACTTCCGGTTGACCTAGAATTGTCAATGCTGGTTATAAGCAAGGTCATACATCACAAGTAAAGGAAAAATGCCGAAAAATAAAAAAGTTGAAAATTAAGGTAAGGTACTTACAAGTTTACGCGAAAATCTAAATTTGCCCATATCATTTAATCATTTTGTAGTACATATTAGGTAAATTAACCTAACTGAAACAATCAAGAGATATTTTCTCAGGGTCACTCTTGCGTCATAAAAACGGCTGTTGTAAACGGCGTCACCTGCTTGCATGCTCTGTAATAATATGACAACTTGTGTATAAAATAAACTGTATTCTCAGTTTCAAAGAGCGAGGCAGGCTTCACTGTGTCGAAGTGGTGGTGGCCAGCGTTGAGGTTGGAGTGAAAACCCTTTACATTGCAGAAATTCACGTCAAGCGTGGCGAAGGGTGAATGCCTAGGCTAGGGGGGCCTGATAGCCTGCTCCCTCCGCGGGCAGATATCCTGGTGAGGCCTGTTGCCCCCTCCCCCAGAATACCGCCACCGAAGCCGAAACATCCACACCCAGACGCATGGTGTTCTGAGCCAGATGTCCAGAGGTGGATTCTCCAACTCTAGCGCAGCTGATACTCCCTGGGGTAGACTATTTTTCAACGATGCTATTATAAGAGTGGGGGTGTAGGGGGGTTGGGCTCCGGAAACCTCACTCACTCAGTGAATCGCAACAGAGAAATTGCTTAATAAACGGTTTTCCGTGAGGCCATGGTATCGCACTGGTCGAGCCGGCCCATTTTTGCCGAAGCATAACTCTCCCACGACATACACATTGTATGTACTATTGGATCTTCAGTTCTTCTGATAACGGGGAACATTTTCTGAAAATAGAACGATCATCTCATCCAGAGTCTGTCGTAATGATGGAATAGTATATTTTTTCAAGAATGAAGCATTTGTTTCTTTTTTGGGATAATATTCGAATACTGACGTAACAAGGTTGAAATCCATTTTCGTAAAAAAATGTTGGAGACTAAACACTTAGGATATTTTTCTAATTTAATAATAACAATAACGTCACACATCCCACACACGGTTGTCTGATCCCAAACAGGGCTGAGCCTGTGCTGTGATGACCAGACTGCTGATAAACATACTTATTTATTTCTAAATACCTGCATATAATAGTATTACACACATAGTACACCTAGATACAGAACAAACGATCATGCTCATCGCATGCAGTAGTCTCGTAATATTTCCTAGTATACACTCGAGTCTCTTGAAATAGAGCGACACGTGATGGTAAACCATGTCGTTTTAGTCGGTTTGATCCAAACCACATCACCATGAACCCTGAAGGCCAATTCTCCTAATAAAAGTTAATTAAAATTCAGTTCTAATCAACTTTCAAAGTACGAGTAAACATCCAACGTTGACTGTAATGTGATTATATTTTATTGTGATCGAAATTTGAATCGGGCATCTGCTAGTCTTAGTAATACTTTACCATTTCACTACGAAAATACTTTTTATGAGAATTGCGAGATTAAGAGTTGATCGTAACTCAATTTTGACCGAACTTTTATTACGAGAATTGGCTTTCAATCGAAAGTGATGAGTTGGGTTTTCCACACGTTAAATAAAGACAAATAGACCGACACACTTGAGATAGAGCAGTTTTCTGTTGCATTACAATGATTTAGTTTGAAAAAAAAACAATAATATTAAATGATAACTAAATGTTTAATCGTCCACGATTACTGACAGTAAAATATATGTTTCTTGCTACAGATTACTCATCTACATGCACTATATTTGTGAATTATATTATACACATATCACTTGAAGCTAAGAATCAATTTTTTATTTTAATCGCGATACATTTGATTTAAAAGGGCAAAGTAAGACCATGATGAACTCAGAATCTGAAAAAAGAAAAGCACTTTACAACGTGGTTTAATGAAAGGTAAATTCAATTTTCTTTTTAATTGATTTCTTATAGTTTGTTATAGTTAGGTAGTTTTTATAGTTTATGCACACTAATCTGAAAGAAAACTGGAACACCTTCCTTTAAATATGTGGCGATATACGAACGAACAAGTGAAATAAGATGCGCCACAAAGACTGTAATCTTTTTCAAGTGTGTGTCTGTATCTTTCTTTGGAACTCTCTGTAGTCTAATCGGCTTCATAGATTTCGGCATGTAATGTGTGATTACATTCGTACTTATTATGAGAGTGAAACGAGGTTTATGAAAATTATAAAAATTTAAATCGCTGGTTGCATCTATCGGTATTATTTAAAAAAATATGTACCTGTAGACGAGTACATTTAATAATAATATAATATATTCATACATCTAACCCACAACGCCATCTAGTTACAAACTAAGCAGAGCTTGTACTATAAAAGCTAGATTGACGGATAAAATACTTATATACTTTTATATTTACTTTTCTTTTTTACTTTACATTGTCTTACCCGTGCAAATGTCATCAAGTTGACTTCGGTAAAACCGCTGGCTGTAAACGTACATGGTTTTATTGACCTGAAATTTTAAACTTTTTGGAATATCAAATCCATATCATGGAATAGATGGGTACAAAGTCAAATTGATCGTGTTTAATCAATTTTTTGTTCATATAAGGCAAACTTACCTAACTAAAACAATTAAGAGATATTTTCTCAGGGTCACTCCTGCGTCATACCAACGGCTGTTGTAAATGGCGTCACCTACTTGCATGCTCTGAAATAATATGACAACTTGTGTATAAAATAAACAGTATATGTTAATTACATTTATCTCAAATTATATTAAAGAAACAGTGAAGAGCTATACATTTCTTCATTAAAGAACATGGGGCATTATTTATATCGTTAAGAGAAAAGTAATAGCATTATAAATCTGTGATTTTAATAAAAATATTACATACAGATCTCATAACGTAGTCACCATAATAACAGTGTAGATTTACTTGCGACATTCCAAAAATCAAAACAGCGACAAAAGGAACGCCTAATACGTGGTCATCTAAAACCTGAAAATGAATCGCACAGTATTATATTAATCATTGGATACATTAAATTTAAAGATGCCATATGTAAAAAGTATTCAGCTTTACCTTTAGATTGAATCCTGAAGCGCAAATTATAACAGAGCTCGTGGCGACACTGAACAAAGTGGATTTAGAATATATTCCATCTAATAATTTTACACATCTGCAACGTGAAAAACTATTTTTACAAAATAAATGGACTTTTACTTTTACTAACTTAATGTACTGTCGCAATTCTTAAGATAGGTAAGTTAGATAAGCATTTATTTATTTGATTAAAAAGCCACTTAAATACATATTAATTGGAGCTTCATAAATAACTGTAGACGTCCCTGATGTCGCTTTAAGGTTATTTTAAAGCTAGCTAACACAATACGTGTGTATTTAAAAGCTTGCTTATATATTACGTTACGTACGATACCAGCCGTTGGCGGGGCCGCTGGCCGCCAGTGTGAAATATCATATCATATCAAATCGTGGGTATATTATAAATTATAATAAACTTAGTACTACAAAATATGGCAGTGTTCTGATAGCACGGATAGGTTTGAAAGTTAAAATATAATTCCAATTTATATATTCTATGATTAAGAAACTTTAAATGTAGTTCAACAATAATCAAAATTGCACTAACTGATTTTCAGTTTTTACTGACGTTACCTTATCAGCTCTCGGTGTCGATTCACTATGGCTATAAATTCTTCTTTGCTGTATGATATCTCATTATTTTGTGAATTTTCTTTAACAATTTTTTCTAAATCATGTTGTAAAAGAGTGAACTGAAGATGGATAAAAGTGCAACAGGTGAAGAAAAAACAGTCTGGTCCAATAATAGAATTGATTGCCATCCAAGCTAGAAAAATAGAAGAAGAGTACAAAACGGATCGTAATGGAACGAAATATAACAGAACAAACGAGAATATAAGTTAACAAAGTAGAACAGGACAGAATAGAATAATAAGCTTAAGTATACATCAGCAATTTTTAGTATTTGTTTTATAAACGACTAGAACAACAATCTTTAACATTTAGCTACATATATCATAAATACGGTACGGTATACGGTATATATAATATAAAGGGTTAAATTTGTAAATAGAGACAAAACTTAGATACCTATTGCTGTTACGAGTTGTTGTAGGTAACAACTTGTCACTGAACTTTATCTTCTGTTTGAGTATTATCATTTGTTTTTAAAACAGAATAAGAAAGAGAAACAAATATAAAATTTACGAAAACTATGTCACAAAGATATAAAATGAGGTTTACGGTAACTTTATTACTTAAATTAATTTTATATTGGTCGCTAAAGAAGATTCTGAAATATTATTAGTTATTTTCGTAAAAAAAAACTTACCTGCTAGAGTTTGTTGAACAAATGCCAGTGGCCAAAAATGTATGTCAAAAATATCAAATGGATACCATGCTATAAAAGGCAACATTAACTTAATTTCTCCAGAAGCATAATAATATGAAGCGGTTACAACTAAGGTCCCCCCAACAAATCCTGCAACCCCTAAGTAGGACGTGTATCGCAGCATATTGATAATATTTTTTAGGAAATTAAACCAAACCTTATGTTCTTCTTCGGAAGATTCACCATTAGGTGTATTTGTCATCTCTAATCTTTTCAAGCAATTGATGACGTCATTAACAGAATTGATATGATAATTAAAGGAGAAAAGCCTGAATTCTCCAAGCAGACTTATAGTCATACAGGGCAGTAAAAAAGTAATTTCCAACATACTTGTGCCTTTTACCATAGCCAACACTATCCACACAATTTGACCAACGATACCATACCGTGAAGTAAATAGATTAATGTAAAACTTCCAATAGTATTTAAATCTATTAAATGCAGTTCGATTACTGCCCTCATTGATAATGGACATACCAAAAGACTCAAAATAAAGTTTACTTTTTTAACAAAATTTTGGAATTGAGGCTCCATCATTACCACTGTTTAGACGATAACAGAATTGTGGCCGTATTCCACAGTCAATAGCTATAAAGTGGCCATGATATTCAATAATTATGCCAAATTGCTCAATTACCCAGTTAAGTCAATATACCTAACAAAGGATGTTTCTGTTTTATACAGTTTATAAAAACTACATACATAGTTTGCATTGAATTAAATTTGAAAATCTCTACCTATTTTTTTTTTTGTTTTGAATAAGTTGGAAGCTATTACTCACTTTTATCCCAATTTAGTCTGAAAACATGGTTTAAAATATGTATGTGTTTAAATTATTGTTTAGCAACTGGATTAACTGACCGAGATGGTGGGCGCTTTTCGGGGGAGGCCCTAGTTCAGCAGTGGACGGCAAAAGGCTGATGTAAGCAAGTAAGCAAAATATAAAAATTAAAAAACTTGGCTCTTTTCCTATTTTTTCGTATACCACATTGAGTGAAAATAAGTTTATGAACAGATTTTGGTTTACTCATAATTTTGGTCTGCATTTGTCTATTAATTATTAATTTTCAAGTCCTCAAATGTCAAAGATTAACTTCAATAGTGATTTAAAATGTAGCATTTTTTAAATATAAGAGGTTCACTTATTTACTTAAAATTTTAAGCAAATTAGCGAATAATTTATTATGTCCATAGTAAGTCGACTGATTGTTTATTTTTTATTTGTTCGTACTAAATAAGGTACACAGTTTAAACAGTAAGATGTCGCATAAACACATTTGAGTTTTTCCGTGCATCAGTGTCATCACTAATACATATTTATATATACTACGACGGGCCCGTTGGTCTAGTGGTTAGTGACTCTGACTGCTAAGCCGGACGTCGTGGGTTCGATTCCCACCCAGGACAAATAATTGTGTGATGAGCACGATCATTCGTTCTGTCTGGGTGTAATTTATCTATATTATGTATGTATTTAGAAATATGTAAGTATGTTTATCAGCAGTCTGATTACCATACTACACGCCCAGCCTAGTTTGGGATCAGACGGCCGTGTGTGATATGTGTGAAATTATTATTACTTAAATAGTTAATTATACTAAAGTAATACATTGACTAAGGCCACAAAATCACACTCATCACAGCGTCATCAACATATCACTGGTGTACTTACATTAATATATTAAAAAAAAATTGAGTGGGTAGTAATTGTAGATTGTAGGTTCATTTTCACATCAGCGACCCGACGTATCACGCAGTGGGTATCGCCATCGCAATAGGTATTATATAATAAGAAACACGCTATATAGAGTGATGCATTACAGTTAAGGCATCGCTCTGTATAGTATTTTGAAAAGTTAAAAACTTAGGGATCTATAGCGATAGGTACCTATCCTGGGGCCCCCAGATTGAAGAAGTTAGCCGCAAACTATTTGCAGCAGCAGAATCTCTGCGAAGGCCACGGAATTTCCTTCCCACCAATACTAAAATTGCGCTCGCACAATCTCTTCTTCTTCCCACCCTTGACTATGGCAATGTCAGATCTCACCGAAGACCAACTGAATAAAATTAAGCGACTCCAAAACCTATGTATTAGATTCATATTTGCTATACCAATATGCTTTCGCCGGAATCTTCGTATTTGTTCTCTTTTATACAGTGTTTTGTTTTATCCCCACACATCCTCTTATCTCAAAGAACGTTCAGTTCTTACACAACACACTTTGCAGTGACCTCAGGTGATCGGAGAATTTAAAACTAAAAGCCACAACATTCCACCTAGTTTGCAGACAAATCTTTTACTGTGCAAGCAGTAAGACTTTGGAACAACTTGCCTTTGACAATCCGACAACCTAAAATCTTGACCGTTTTCAAAAAGCTGGTGAAGGATTTTTGTTTGACATCCTAGATACTGTTGGTTTCATTATATATAGTATATATTTTGGTCTGTATGTATATATATGTTGTGTGTATGTATATATATTTATATATATACATATATTTGACTGCACGGATGGCGTAGTGGTTTAAGCGGTCGCCACGTCGCTTCCTACTACGCTGAGTGTTGTGGGTTCGATCCCCACATGGGAACACATTTTGTGTGATCCACAAATTGTTGTGCTGAGTCTGGGTGTTCTTTGTATCCGTTTTATGTAGGTTCATACTTAAACATAATAGATATATATATGTGTATATGCATATAATATAAATATATGTACATATACACATACATGTATATATATGTATATTTATATATTATGTTTAAGTATGTGTGTATGTATGTATGTGTATTTCTCTATGTGTAATAAGAACAGATGTATATTTGTGTATGAATGCTTTTTTTATATATTTTTAAATATTCACGTGATAATGCGTTACGTGTATGTCAAGTACCCAAATTTTTCAATAACTAATATCCGTATTAAGATTGTCTGTAAGAGATCGCCGTGAGCGATAAGACCGCCGATTGTTACGTCTATATATTTGTAACTAACTTATGTGCTAACTGTATAAAATAAAGTAATAATGTGATAAGTATTGCTTGAGTTTACTTTTAAGATTTTTTGGAGTTACCTTATGCTAATTTTCTTTTACCGTAACTGTTAGTGTATTTAAGCAAAATTAACAATTTTTTTTAGGATCTGTCGTGTTTGAACCGTATTACTGTTATACCTTCTGTCTATTTTTTTTTCGTTAAAAAAATCTTCATTTTTTTATTTAATTCTTTTGCACTTACAGCAATTCATTGTACAATGGCGGACTTAATGCCACAGGCATTTTCTCCCAGTCTACCTTTGGGTGGAGGGGAAATGTCTGATTAAGTGTACTAGAAATTAAGTTTTATAAGTAACGAGATAATAATAATTAAGGATATGGACAGAACCAGTCAGACGGATAAATATACATACATACTGAGTTACACATACAAATATACTTGCTGAGTTACAAACATATATCTACATTTAATACACTATATAAAAATTTGGGGTGTGATGAATCTGCTTGAGTTTTAAGAATTCGAGCTCGGACTTTCGTCTTAAATGAGAGGCGGTTCGGTGCTATCCTGATTTCCAAAGGCAGAGCGTTCCAGAGGAGGACAGATTGGATTAGGAACGAAGAGTGGACACAAGCGGAAGTGTGAGTGGGGCATAACAGAAGTGGATTGTTTTAGGAACTAAGGGTTCTGTTGTGATTGGAACATAGAAATTGAAATAAAGATGTCAGACAGGAAGGGGAAATAGGAGAGTTGAGTATGGTATAGAGGATGGTGCGGGCGTGCAGCTGACGGCGCTGACGAATCGTGGGCCAGTTCAATTCGCGACGAGAGGAGGAAACATGGCCGTATTTGCGAAGTTTAAAGACGAATCGAATGCAGTTATTCAGAAGGCGGTCGTATTTATTGAGGAGATCTACATTTAGGTCATAATTTTATATATCACCATAATCCCGGGACAAAAAAGGGTCTGCACTAGCATCGCTTGTCTCGGAAAGAAGGAAGATTTTAAGCCGATAGAGAGCCTGGCTGAGGCTGGTGACCTGGGTTTGCCAACTGAGCTTGGAGTCGATAAATAGGCCTTTTTTTTTTCCTTGCGGAAATCCCCTCGGATACCACCTGTCGGTGGCATGTCGGACTCGAACCGACTAAAACCGCACGCCGCCTCGGGTACTAATAGCCGGGGAACCAGGTATACCTTAGAAAGGAAGTCCCTGGTGCCCCGACATACCTCGGGTCATCTACAGACGAGTAGACGACCTCCCCCCCCCGTGTGAGAACCCCATGTTCCCTGTGCTTCCTGGAAGCGAGCGCGCTTCGCAACGCGCTCGAAGCCATCCCGGCCTGCTTCTGCTAGGGTGACAGATGGCCTCACCTGTCACCCCCAGGCCTGCGCTTATGAAGGACGGAGGTCGTTCTGCGACCTTCGGTGCCTGAGTCGCCTGCGGTACCTGGCCCGTTCCCGGGCCTGGCGGGCCGGGATAGTCCTAAACCTCTTCCGGTCCCGCTCCGCCGTCTCCTTCGCAAGAATAGTTATTGGCCTGTAGTTTTCAGAGTCATCACGGCTGCTTTTTTTATGCAAGGGTCTATGCCTGTTTTTAGTGCATCAGGATACCGTCTAATCCCGGTGATTTTTTGGCGTTTAATGATTTTATGATTGTAGCCAGAACATTTGGGTGTTATTTTGGCAACATCCTGCTTACTTGCACCATTATTAACTAGGGCATTTGTTATGACGGCATCAATAGACTTTTATTCTACCTGTGATCCGGTTGAGAATTTGCCATAATCGACGTGGGTTGTGCCTGTTCTGAGTTATTTCTGTTTTGAGATTTTTAGTTTTTGATTTTTATAAAATTTTATTAGAAAAATTTCTAGCTTTATTGTAATCATACTTTAAGTTTAGGTTACTTTGGTCTTTAATCCATTTTACTATTTTTTGTCCCGATTCTGACAAGAATTATTTACGTTTCAAATAATCCAAGCATTATTTCGTGTTTTCAAGTTTAATGTTATAAGTTGATTTTAAATAGCATTCCTTAAAATTATTTTCAAAAAAATATCATAATTGGCCATGAAAATTCACACCCCTTATCCCAATCGACTTCAGTGAAAAGTTCAATAACTTTTTTTATTATTAATACAGTTTTTATAAATTGGTACACCTGTATTGATGCGCCGACGCAAGCAAGTATAACTGCACGATGGTC